TAAAATAAATTTTAAAAAATCGAAAATCTTCAAGCTTTTATTTTAGCTTTAATTTCACGCTGATATATTAAATTTAAGATTTCGAATAAGAAAATATATAATTGAGTAAAATATAACTGTATTTAATTTTTGGAAGTATAAAGTTGATAATGAAAAAGCGGAAATTATTTATGATTCAACCAAATATTTTCCAGAAACTAAAAACAATTTAAGTCTTTCGTCTCTCCTTTGCCATTCGAACCAAACATGAAAAACAAAAGAATTTGCTTATAAGCAAGGTTTCCCTCTATTGTCGATATTTCAAAAGATCCGCTTCCTCTTGCCCCAGCACACAGTACCTGGGGTCTCTAAGTGGTCACCTATCAAAGTATTGATCTGACTCAACGCCCCAACCGTTATCTTGACATAATTCATGTCTGAATTTCTGGAATGAGGAGTTATCATTATTTACATTATTTATATTCGGACTATTATCCTCATCTTTGTTGTTATTATCCCCTGATTGCCTTCTGACTGAATTTCTGGGATGAGGTGTTATCATTATTTACATTATTTACATTCGGACTATTATCCTCATCTTTGCTGTTATTATCACCTTATTGCCTGATTTCCTTCTGTGATGAGGAGTTATCATTTTTACATTGTTTACATTCAGACTAATTTCCCTATCTTTGTTGTTATTATAACAACTAAAATGGGGGCATTAGTTCGAATGTAAGTAAGGTAAAGAAACCTGGCTTTAGTTTTATATAAGGTCATAAGTTACTGTCGGGAGCTTCTAAGTGGTCACTCACCTTAGGTTCGGCGTTGCTTAACTTTTGTGATCAGAGACGTAGAGGTTCTAACGTAACTTTATTGACACAGCTCACAAATTCTACGTCTTATTCCAAACTTTGCCATAAATTGCCAAGTACACACACACACACACACACACACACACACACACACACGAAAAGCAAATAGTTGCAGTTGTTTGACGTTTGTCAAAACATTCCGGAATGAGGCGAAATGAGAGCCAATCATTGGTCAATAATTAATGTTACCTGTAACTACACTGATGTTACTCATCGAGTTAACTTGCTGTTTGGTCTCTAAAGGACAGGCAAAACAGGGAAGGAGAATTGATTCTCAACACCTTCCACTTTCACCACTTCACAAGTCATCGTCATCGGCAATTCTCCAGGAACTCAGCGGAATATTTCGTGCCAAATCTCCAACCTTTTCCGCCAGCTCTTTGAAGTAGATGTTTTCTTTAGAAGTATCGCCATAATGTTAAAAAAAAAAAAAAATGGAGTCAACCATATTTTTGCTAAACATAACACTTTGATAACGCCATTAAAATATCTCTTCCGGTTTTTAAACGTTATTCTTTCATTTTTTTTTATCTTTTATCTTCGTCCTATTTTTTCATATTTTCATAAGCCATTCCCGCCCCGTATCTAATTGTCCCTCCCTGTCAATCTTTCTTTTTTTTTGTTTTATTCTCGTCTAATGTCAGGTTCTCTTTTTCTAATGTAGCAAGCTCTGTTTTTTTTTCTTTCATTTTCGCCCACTGTCTAAATACTCATCCCTATCTTTCTCTTTCTCTCTCTCTCTCTCTTTCTCTCCCTCTCTTTCTCTTTCTCGCCCTCTCTCTTTCTCTTTCTCTCCCTCTCTTTCTCTCTCTTTCTCTTCCTCTCTCTTTCTCTCCTCTCTCTCTCTTTCTCTCCTCTCTCTCTCCCCCCTCTCTCTCTCTTTCCATTCATACATAATGTCTCACTTTTTCTTACTCCTTTTCATTTTGCACTCAATGTGCAGTTATCTCTTTTTAATTTCTTCTTCTATTCTCGCCCCTTTTATAACTTCTTTTCCCTATATTTCTCTTTTTTCCATATTCACCCACTCTGTTCTTCCATTCTCACCCACTGCCTGTTTTTCACTTTTCATCCATTTTTCACCCAATGTCACTTATCCCCCATCTGTTTCTATTCTCACCCACTGCTGCCCTACTCTCTCTCTCACTCTTTCCATTCTTAGTTTTCCTCTTCTTTCCTCTCTTCATCATTTCCCCCACTACCTTTCTTTTTTCCCCCCTTCTCATATTTTCACCCTCTGCCCCGCCTTTCTCTCTCTTCATCCATTCTCACCCACTGATTCTGATTTTTTTCTCTTTTTCCATTGTGTTCTAATGTTCCTTTCTTCTCTCTTTTTTCTTCTATTCTCAGCCACTACCTCTCTTTTCCTCTTCACTCTTTTCCACTTCATCCATTCTCACCCACTGCCTCTCTTTATCTCTCTCTTCATCCGTTTTCTACATCTCTCTTTCTCGTTTTCTATCCATTCTCTCCCACTGCTTCTTTTTGTACGTCTCTTCATTCATTCTCACCCACTGCTTCTTTTTTTCTCCCTCTCTCTCTCCATTTCTCACCCACTTCTTCTTCTTCTTCTTCTTCTTCTTCATCTCTCTCTCTCTCCATTTCATCTATCTACTTCTCTTTTTAGCTCTCTTCATCCATCCTAA